TAAGAGTTTTTTGTAGAGTCTAGGTTTTTCTTTTTCTTTTTTTTTTTTTTTTGTCTTTTTGTCTTTTTCCGTGTCTGGCAACGGATCGCAACCCTCAGTGTTGCCCCCGTACCAGATCGGGGACCGATGTCTGGCAACGGATTGCAACCCTCAGTGTTGCCCCCGTACCAGATCGGGGACCGGCAACGGGATTGCAACCCTCGGCGTTGCTCCCGTGCCTCGCTCAGCCAGTGAGCGGGAACCGGTCTGTATGTGGGATCCAAACCCTCGGGTGGGAGCGCCGCTGCGCTTCCCAAGCGGCGCACTATCCAGTGCGCCACCGGACCGGCCCGAGTCTAGGTTTTTCTATATGTAGGATCATGTCATCTGAAAACAGGGACAAGATGAGTTCATCTTTTATGATTTGGATGCCTATTATTTCTTTTTCTTGTCTGATTGCTCTGGCTAGTACTTCCAATACTATGTTAAATAGGAATGGTGAGAGTGAGTATCCTTGTCGTTTTCCAGTTCTTAAGGGAAAGGCATTCAGCTTTTCCCCTTTAAGGATGATATTATGGTGGGTTTGTCATATATGGCTTCTATTGTGTTGAGATGCTTTCCTTCTATACCTAATTTGCTGAGAATCTTCATTATGAAAGGATGTTGAATTTTGTCAAATGCTTTTTCTGCATGTATTGAGATAATTATAAGGTTTCTTTTTTTTTTTTTTGTCCTTTTTGAGACTGGCCACATGGCACTCAGCCAGTGAGCGCACCGGCCATCCCTATATAGGATCTGAACCCACGGCGGGAGCGCTGCTGTGCTCCCAGCACCGCACTCGGCCCATAATTATATGGATTTTGTCCTTGATTTTGTTGATGTGGTGTATCACATTTATTGACTTACATATGTTGAACCATCCGTGTATCCTTGGAATAAATCCCACTTGATCACGGTGTATAAAAGTTTTGGTGTGTTGCTGTATTCTGGTTGCTAATATTTTGTTGAGGATTTTTGTATCTTTGTTTATCAGAGATATCAGCCTGTAGTTTTCTTTTTCTTTCTTTCTTTCCTTTCTTTTTTTTTTTTTTTCTGTCTTTTTGTCTTTTTTTGTGACTGGCAACGGATCGCAACCCTCAGTGTCGCGCCCGTACCGGACCGGGACCGGCAACGGGATCACAACCCTTGGTGTTGCTCCCGCACCTCGCTCAGCCAGTGAGCGGCCGGTCTGTATGTGGGATCCGAACCCTCAGTGGGAGCGCTGCCGCACTTCCCAAGCGGCGCACTGTAGCAGTGCGCCACCGGGCCGGCCCCTCTTTTTGTTGTTTTTCATTGTCCAGTTTTTGTATCGGGGTGATGCTGGCCTCATAGAATGAGTTTGGAAGAATGGCCTTTGCTTCACTTTTTTTGAATAGTTTGAAGAGAAATTGGTATTAATTCCTCTTTAAGGTTTGGTAGAATTCAGCAGTAAAGCCATCCAGTCCTGAGCTTTTCTTTGTTGGGAGACTGCTGATTACTGTTGCAATCTCATTGCTTGTTATTGGTCTGTTTAGGTTTTCTATGTCTTCTTGGTTCAGTCTTGGTAGTTTATAAGTGTCCAGAAGTTTATCCATTTACTCCAGGTTTTCAAATTTGTTGGTGTATAGTTGTTTATAATAGCCCCTATTGATTATTTGTATGTCTGTAGTATCAATTATAATGTCTCCTTTTTCATTTCTGATTTTTATTTGTGCCTTCTCTCTTCTTTTTTTAGTTATCCTAGCTAATGGTTTGTCTATTTGTTTATCTTCTCAAAAAACCAACTTTTTGATTCATTGATCTTTTGTGTCATCTTTGGGGTCTCTGTTTCATTTAGTACTGCTCTGATCTTAATTATTTCTTTCTGCCTACTAATTCTGGGGTTGGACTGTTCTTGTTTTTCTAGTTCTTTGAGGAGTAACATTAGGTTGTTTATTTGAAATTTTCCTATTCTTTTGATGTAAGCATTTACTGCAATCAATGTCTTCTTGCTGGATAGATCCCTTTATCATTATGTAGTGGCCTTCTGTGTCTCTTTTTATAGTTTTTGGTTTAAACTCTATTATCTGATATAAGAATTGCTACTCCTGCTCATTTTTGGTGGCATATCTTTTTTTCTCCATTTGCACAGCATGTTTTTTTTTTCCATCCATTCACTATTAGTTTGTGTGTCTTTACAGGTGAGGTAAGTCCCTCAAAGAGAGCAAATAGTTAGGTCTAGGTTTACAATCCAATCAGTCAGTCTGTGTTTTTTGAGTGGAGAGTTTAGTCTATTTACATTTAGGGTTGTCATTGAGAGGTACTGTCTTACTCCTGGCATTTTGTCAATTTTCCTTTGGATGTTTTACATCTTTTGTTCCTTTCTTCCCTTTTTATTGTTTGTTTCTTATGTTTGTTGGGTTTTTTGAGGCAGTAGGGTTTAGTTTCTTTCTCTTCCTTTTTTGCATTTTTGTTCTACCAGTGGGTTTTGTTCTTTCTTATGTATTTGTGGTAATGATCATCATTTTTGGATTCCAGATGCAGGACTCCCTTGAGGATTTCTTGCAGGGTTGGACATGTGATGGTTAACTCCAACAGTTTTTGTTTCTCTGGGATATATACTATTTCTCCCTTATTTCTGAAGGATAGCCTTGCTGGGTATAGTATTCTTGGCTGGCAGTTTTTTTCAATTAGTATTTTGCATATGTCATACCATTTTCTTCTGGCCTATAGAGTTTCAGTTGAGAAGTCTGAGGTTAGTCTGATGAGGACTCCCTTATAGGCAACTTGATGCTTTTTTCTTGTTCTTAAGATTCTCTCTCTGTTTTGAGCTTTTCCAGTTTGACTATAATGCGTCTAGGAGAGAATCATTATGGAATGAATCTCTTTGGGGATCTTTGAGCCTCCTGGATCTGAAGGTCCATGTCTCTCTCTATCCCTGGGAAGTTTTCTCCTATTATTTTGTTGAATGTATTTTCAATACCTTTTCCTTTCTCCTCCCCTTCTGAAATACCCATGATTTGGATGTTTGTGCAATTAAGGTTGTCTGCTAGCTATCTTAGATCTTCTTCATTTTTAAAAATTCTTCTTTCTTTTTTTTTTGTCTACCTGGGTTTTTTCAAAAAGACTGTCTTCAAGGTTAGAAATTTTTTCTCTGTTTTCTCTAATCTGCTGCTTAAGCTGTCAGTTGTATTTTTTATTTTGTTAAATGACTCCTTCAGTTCCAGGAGTTCTGCTACATTCTTTTTAGGTTATTAATCTCTTTGTAAATTTCATCTTTCATGTCCTGGATACATTTTCTCATTTTGTTGTGTTGTCTAACTCAGTCTTTATCTCATTGAGTGGCCTTAAGATTTTTACTTGGAATTCATTTTCAGTCATTTCAAGGGCTTCTTTCTCTATGGGGTCTGTTACTTGAGAATTATTGTATTTCTTTGGTGCTGTCATATTTTCTCATTTTTTCATATTTCTAGTATCTCTATATTGATGTCTGGTCATCTGGTAGAGCAGTTTCTTCTATTATTTGGAGTGGGCTTTGAGGTGAGGGACTTCCTCCTGTAGATGTGCTTTATATTTGCCATTAAGTAGGTGTTTTAGTAGTGGTTCTGGGTAGACACAGTAGTGTAGTCTCCATGTGGATACTTCAGCCGTATTCAGTGTTGGAGTTGCATGTGAGTGCCTCTGTGCCCTAGGCACTGGGACACTTAGCGATTCCTTGCTGAGGTTAGTGACACTGTATTTGTTCATTGGGGGATGAATGAGCTCTCAAGTTCTTGGAAGAAGTGCCTGGGTGCTCTGTCATTCTTTGGCTGGAGTGGGTGACCCTGAGCAGGCTTAATGGCGCCCCAGCTAGTTTCCCATGACCCTGATGGGTGGGCTGGGATATATTGGAACTCCTCAGTTTGAATGGGTGACCCTGAGTGGGGTTTCTCTTTCCTCTTTCCTACAGGCAGAGGCTCCTTCTGGGTCCTTGCTTCTCCTAGTTGGGGGAATGGGTTGGTGGTGACTGGGAATTTTCTTCCTTACTCTACTTGGGTAATCTTGTTTCTGCACTCGCGGGGAGTCCTGTGTGTATTCCTCCCTGGATCAAGGCAGTCGTCTGGGCTCATACGTACCTCCCACATCCTGCTGTGCTGCTACATGTGGCAGCATAATTTTCCCTGTGGATTGGGCCACTGGGTCACAGTTCTGTGCTCATTCCCCTCTTTCCCTGGGTTCTGCTGGTGACCCTCCTTGTGTCAATGCAGTTGAGTGGTCTATGGGCTGCCTGCATGGCAGTGGTAGCTGCTGCTATGGTGGTAAGCTGCCCTTGTGGCAGAAGTTGCTGTAGCAGTGACAGCAGTGGATCACTCACACAGCAGTGGTGTTGGCAGCTCTGGTTGGGGCTGCCCACAGCTGCTGAGTTCCCTGGGAACCTCTAGTTCTTAATAGTCTGTAATGGCTGCAAATGGAAGTTTCATGCTTTGTCTTTCTATGGCCAGGAAAACCTTTTGATCTTAACAAAAGCATACATGCCTTAATTCAGTCTCCAAGTGATGAAATTGCTTCACTTATAAATCTTACAGTCTAAAGACAGATCTTTGTGTTTGGCATCCTAATAGAAGACTATGTGAATAAAATATTGTCTTAGTCAGTTTGGGCTGCTACATAAAATACCATAGATTGGGTGGCTTAAACAATAGGCATTTATTTCTCACAGTTCTGGAGGCTGGAAAGTCCAAGATCAAGGTGCTGGCAAATTCAGTTCTTGGAGAGGGCTCTCTTCCTGGCTCATAGATGGCCACCTTCATGATACACTCTCACATGGCAGAGAGAGGAAGCTCTGGTATTTCTTTCTATTCTTTTAAAGGCATTAATCTTATCATGGGCGGTTTCACCCTCATGACCTCATCTAACCTAATTACCTCTCAGTGGCCCCATTCCCTAATACCAGTATGATAGGAGTTAGGGCTTAAACATATTAATTTTTTTTGAGGAGAGGGCAGGGAATACAAACATTCAGTCCATAACATAAGTCAACTCACTTTATCTCTTCTTGGTAACCCAAATCTTGATGGTTAAGCAATATTTCCAGTAGGCTCAATGTCAGATACAATCCATGCTTCCCACATATAGCCCTGACCTGCAAATAAAAAAGAATTTGAAGTTTTACTAGGGTGAAATTAATAATTAAATTTCCTTTCCCTAATTAGAACCCGTATGATTTTGACAAAGAATTAATACCCAGGAGTTCATTTTACCTTGGGATAGTATTTAGGACAAAAATGTCCAAGTAAATGCTCAACAGCAAATTTTTATTTAGTTGACACAGAAGTATAGTTCATTTCAGAAGCTATTGGGCTTTGAAATGCCTACCTTACTTTTTTGTCAGTTATGGAATGGGTGGTCAAGACCTAGTAATTATCTACACTTCATTTTTCAGGTAAATTGCAAAATATTTTTGTGGCATTGACTTTAATTTGCAAAACAAGCTTGTTGTATCAGCAGGGCTAGTATTACTATCTACATTTCATATACAAGGGTACTTCAAAAAATTCATGAAAAAATAGCATTAAAAGATAATGTGAATCTTTCCATGAACTTTTTGAAGACTCCTCATATAAGTAAACCAAGACTTAGAGAGATTACATATTTCCTTAATGTCACATAGCTAATAAATTATAGAACTTATTCTAGAAACCAGATGCTCACTATTTGTTGAATGAATAAATGAAGTGTCATTGCCAAGACTCCTCATATAAGGAAACCAAGACTTAGAGAGATTACATATTTCCTTAATGTCACATAGCTAATAAATTACAGAACTTATTCTAGAAACCAGATGCTCACTATTTGTTGAATGAATAAATGAAGTGTCATTG